TGTCCAAAGAATGTGAACAGCGATGGGAACAGGGTAAATCTGAGGCCATAAAACAAAACCAGGGCCTGTCGGACTAGAAGCACTGTGGGGTGGCAGGGAGAGGAAAAGGGTGGGTTCTTGGGGACCATCCAATAAGAGGTGTGCAGGTGGCAGGTACTACGTGGCTCTGACGTTCAAGAAAGTAGTCGCGACAAAGAGGGACATCGCAGTCGGCGGCTGCTCTGCTGTCCTGCCAAGAACAGCTTAGGACCACACTGGGGAGGACTGGCGGGGTAGCCCGGGGACTTGGGACCCGACCCTACAGGAAGTGCATTTGAACAAGAGGTTTTGGAGAAGTGACACAATCTGACCTGGGCTCTGAAGATAGGGCCACAGTGTGTGGAGGACAGACTCGGATGGGAGCAGAGGAAGTTGCCTGTGGCAGAGGTGACCGAGGGGATGGAGGGAGGCACACGTGACAGGTGCTGAGGAGGGTCTCCTAGCGTGGCACATAGTGCCATGCTGGAACTGCCTCCTACCAGCTCACGAGAGCCAAGCGTTAATTTTTCGGGAATTCTCTGAGCCACTTGTTAAAATCAGGCATTATTAAAAATGTCAAAATAGATAAATATTTAAAATATTTTAAAATATTAATATATAAACTTACAATTAAGTAAATTCTGTTAAATACAAAGGGCATAGCTAAATACTACAAACTCGTCACTTCTTGTTTTACTACGTTACTATTAGCGATGCCGCTGAGGTGAGCGCGCCTGCTGCACCTGAGTGGCGCAGATGCAACGTCATGGTGTGCTACTCATCCCTCCCCAGCTCCCTGTTCACTGACATGATGGTGGTAGGCTGAAATTGGCCTTGGAAACTGGTAAACACTACAAATCAAGACTTGAGTGTTTTGTTGATTATCTAGAGTTAAAGAAGTGATACAGAAAATGTTAACATGCCAATAAAAGTTAGAAATGTGTTGTGTCTTATAACCATTACATTGTGTGGGGTACCATTACACAGTTCAAAAAATTAAGGAAATATGCTATCGGGATTCAAAAACTATTATCTGATTCAGCAAGAAAGTTGTTCCCGTATGGCCAATTAGTCCCAATGACAAGGGTGGCAATAGTATGCAATGGGGTACAGACGGTCTCTTCAATAAGTGGTGCTGGGAAAACTAGACAGACACATGCAAAAAAAAAAAAAGAAAGAAACCGGACCACCTTCTTATACCATATGCAAGAACAAACTCAAACTGGATTAAAGACTTAAACGTAACACCCAAAACCATAAAACTCCTGGAAGAAAACATAGGCAGTAAACTATCTGAAATTGCTCTTAGTAATATATATTTTTTGGATATATCTACTCAGGTAAGGGAAACGAAAGAAAAAATAAGCAAACGGGACTACATCGAACTAAAGTTTTTGCACACCAAAGGAAACCATCATCATAAAAAAAGACGACCTATTGAATGGGAGAAGATATTTGCCAATTACATCCAATAAGCGGTTAATATCCAAAAAAACATAAATAGCTCCTATAACTTACCACCACCACCACAAACAGAACAATTCGATTAAAAAAGGGCAGAGGACCTGAATAGACATTTCTCCAAAGAAGACATACAGACGGCCAACAGACATATGAAAAGATGCCCAACATCACTAATCATCAGAGAAATGTGAATTAAAATCACAATGAGATATCGCCTCACACCTGTCAGAATGGCTACCAACAATAAATCGAAAAACAAGTGCTGGTGAGGATGTGGAGAAAAGGGACCCCTCATACACTGTTGGCGGGATTTCAAATTGCTGCAGGTACTGTGAAAAGTTTGGAGGTTCCTCACAAAATTAAAAATAGAACTATCCGTAACCCAGCAATTCCACTTCTGGGTATTTATTCAAAGAAATCTGAAACACTAATTCGAAAAGATGTAAGCATCCCTCTGATCACTGCACCGTTACTGACAATAGCCAAGATATGGAAGCGACCTAAGTGTCCATCAGCAGATGACTGGATAGAGAAGAGGTGGTGCATATGTACAATGGAATATTATTCGCCATTAAAAAGAATGAAATCTTACCATTTGTGATGACATGGGTGGACCTAGAGGGTATTATGAGTGAAATAAGTCAGACAGAGAAAGACAAATACCATATGATCTATGTGGACTCTAAAGAACAACAAAAAAAAACAAACTAACTCATACAGAGAACAAACTGATGGCTGCCAGAGGGAGGGGGGTGGGGGGATGGGGGGAAAACGTGGAGGGATTAAGAAGTACAAATTGGTACTCACAAAATAGTCACAGAGATGTGAAGTACGGCCCAGGCAATATAGTGAATATGGTAATAACTATGTATATATAATGTCAGGTGGAGACTAGACTTACGGAGGCGGGTCACTTCATGGTATGGCTAACTATGCTGTACACCTGCAACTAATATTTGAATGTCAACTGTAATTGGAAAAAAAAAACCAATCAACTGGCTATATGGAATTCACAATAGAGCATGGCCTAGTTTATTATTTGTAAAGTGCTGTACATCCTCTATATTAGTAAAACGTATAATAAACTTACATACATATATGCACATTTTTTTCCCAGGGAGCTGGTTGTTAGATATTTACCAACACACCACTGATTATACATGTTCGCCATTACTAGAAAAGCTAAGAAAAATACACAAGCAAGCCTACAGCCGTGCCACTCTGAACGTGCCCGATCCCGTCTGATCTCGGAAGCTAAGCAGGGTCGGGCCTGGTTAGTACTTGGATGGGAGACCACCTAGGAATAGCAGGTGCTGCAGGCATAAAAAATAAAAACCAACAAAAACAAGAAAACATGAGCATATCCTTAGAAAAGCCCTGGGAATAAACTGAAAAGCTGTTGGTTCTTAGGAAGTTTCTTGTTATTAAAGGCTTTGTTGTCTCAGGAATTATTATAATTTATTGTTCAAACAGCACGACGTTCTCAGAAGTCAGTGGTAGAGACAATCAACCTACAACTCCTGCCTGAGTTTATCGAACCTTTCACATTTTTCATTCTTTCTTTGGGCTTTAGGGCTGATCTTTGGATTCGAGGAATTTTCCAAGACCAACCACCTGGGGCAGATGAGTGGATTGGATTCAGGATGGAAAATTCCTACCTGAAAAGATAAGGTCTGTCTTGGGATCTAGTTTATGTCCCAGGTAACATGGAAGGAAGTTAACTCCTTAGGTGGAGCCCGAGCCAGCACTTGCCATCCCTTGGCACTAGGAAATTCAAGGTCATGTCTGCAATTTCCTTTTGAAGGGTTCGGAATGTGTGTACATGCCTATCTAGAGAAATACAGCCATTATTGAATCTAGCCGGTGTCTACATAGATCACTGTACTCCTGACTTTTCTGTATATTTGAAAATGTTTATAACATAAGCTAGCGGGGGTGCCGAGTAGATGAGGTCAGAGGCCAGGTGGTAGGGGCCTCGTAGGACTTCGTGATGACCATGGGTTGTAGTCTGAGCAAGACAGGAGCCATTCAGGACGGTAAGCAATGACTTGACCTCACTTACACGCTTGACACTGGGGGCCTCTGGCTGCTGAGTTGAGACTGTAGTGGGGCAAGGACAGAAGCCAGACCAGTCAGGGGCTAATCCTATGATCTACAATGTAGGCAAGAGTTGCTGGTGGCACAGATCAGTGGCAGCAAGGCAGGTGATGAGAAGTGGTCCAATACTATTTGGGAGGAAGGGCAGACGCCCTACTGTTTCTTAGTACATTTATTATTAAAAATGTTAAAAATGGCAGATGTGACAAGTGTACCGAAGCCCGCACACCCTCTAGATTCTAAAGCGACTTGCAGACCGCTTCTCGTTTCTTCTGTGTATCTTTCAGTGTGCTTCTCTGAAAGACAAGGACTCTGTGATTAGCACACCGAAAAACTCATCATCTCTCAGTATCACCAAATATGGATTCTGTGTGTATTTTGAAGGTAGAGCCAACAGGAGTTTTTAATACAATTACATGTGGAGCATGAGGAAAGGGAGACGAATCAAGGTCACGTCCAGTGTTCGGCCTAAGTGGGGAGAAGGAATTCGCCGTGACTCAAGATGGCGAAAGCTTGGTGAGAACTGACAGACGTAGGTCAGGGGGCAGTAATATCTGGCTTAGCAATAAGAACGAAGGATTTGGATATTTAAAAGCTCAGGATGACTCCTGGGAACTATGAAGCACTGTGCAAGGCCTAGACGTTTGTATTCTGCTTGTTGTCATTCAGAACTGTGCTGCGCTAGCCCCTGAAGGTAAAAGGGACGTGAACCGAAGCCACGTGTCCCCGCTGACAATGCCTGGAAGGTCCCTTCTAACTGTAAGACTTGATGAATCAAGTTTTAAGCCTTAAAAAGCCCAACAAAGACACAACCATTTTACTTGGAAACTTGGAGCTTACGGCAATGACACAGGGAGCTCTGGCTCAGTCCCCCGATTCGACTTGGTGTTAGGATGGCGATCTCCCCCACATGGGGGCTAGTTTACCTAACGAATACAAAACCAGAGCAAATCTGCTTTAAAAAACTCTGCAGATGTGAGGAGACGGGCATCTAGGAAAGCGACCAACTCGGAGGCTTCTCGTTCCCATTTGCTTTGGTTCCTTAGCTAAAATTCAAATCATTTCCATCATCTACATGTTTCTGTTTTGCAGAGTCCCGAGGACGCAGTTGAGAACCAGAGGAGCAGGAGAGACTAGAGAAAGGAACGCACTGAATTTTTTTTTAAGCCAAGAGGACTTGAGGGTAGGTGGCCTCCTGGCCAAGTCAGGGGTGCTCTCACTGGGCTGCTGCTCACCCTCTGCCAAGTCCGGTGCGCTCTCCCCACCCACAGCACCCAAGCTCAGCCTGGGAGACCTGGGAGACCTACATCACAGGACACTTGAGTCTGCCCAAAACGCTAACCCCAACCCACATGTCCCATTATAAAGTAAGACGGCAGGAAACTAAATGAAAACAACAAAAACTCCCCAAACACCAACAATGTCATCAATCACTAAATTCAGATTTAATTAGGCACGAAGACGTTTCCAAATCATGTCACCTACAGGTCACTTCACCCGCTGCTCTGTTTGGCCGCCAGTCTCTTGTCTCTCTCTTCAGCGATGGTGAGTCGGATCCCCTTGCCGCGGGGAAGAGAAATCCACGGTTTGTTGCCCTGAAGGAGACAACGAGAATGAAATCCCACCAAGCGCCAGGTCCGTTAGCGGCCTGGCACCTTCCACATGTGCCACCTCACTTAAAGCAACAGAAGCGTGTTTGCGAGCGCGCTCAGCAGCAGCCAGGCCATCTCCAGACACTCAGATGCTGCCCGATCAGAAACACCCACTGCCTGGGGCCACTGTCCCAAGCCCACTGGCCGTCCGAGAGATGCAGGCCGCCACGTTTTTCGTAATCAACATCTCTGAAGTACTCCAGTGATGCGCACGGCTGCTCACGAGCCCCTTGAGCCCCTCCACCCCCTGCCCCCGACACAAAGGAAGAACGTAAGAGGCTTCGCACTGGGTTAGGTGCGGCCGGCACTCACGGGTCCCCTGGGCTGGAGAAGGGAGACGCGGACTTACTTTGCCAATAACGAAAATGTTGGAGAGCCGGGTGGCGAAGCTGTTGCCATTGGCGTCTTTCACATGAACCACGTCGAAAGAACCAGGGTGTCTCTCTCTGTTGGTGATCACGCCAATTCTTCCCAAGTTAGCGCCTCCGGTCACCATGCACAGGTTACCTAGGCAGGAGGGGGGACAACGTGCTCAGCAAGGCACCGTGCAGACGCCCACCCTGAGGTAACGACCGACAGAGACAGAGGAAGCTTATCCATCCGTCTCCCGCTTGAGTTTACTCTGCGGATCTGTCACCTAAGCCAGGACACCAGCTCCAGAGGTGTGTCGTCTTTTGGCTGCTGCCTTCCACCCCAATATAAACCCGCTGCACGTCTCACGGCACCCCGCCGAGCCGCACCTGAGGCTGAGCTCCCCACCTGCCCTTCAGAATATATCCACATCCCTAACCCTAACTGCCACCAAAGCCATGCCGACCCAGACCCCGTCCGGTTCCACACGTGCCCTGCACACTTCTCAAAACTCGGACAGCGGCCCCCTTCCCGATCCCTGGCTGCACCAGACACATCCGGCTTTGGCCTCTAGTCATGTGCGCCGCAGAATCACGTGGGGGGCTCAATGACACAGAACCGAACTCGATGAATAAAGGAGGGGAGACAAAAGCAAAGACACAGCTCTTACACCTGGGCTTGAGAGAGAACGCCCGGGTAGCAGAGGCTGCTTACCGGTGTCAAACTTGATGAAATCGGTAATTTTGCCAGTCTCCAAATCAATCTGAATGGTGTCGTTCACTTTGATGAGGGGGTCGGGGTAGCGGATGGTGCGAGCATCGTGAGTCACCAGATGAGGGATTCCTTTTGTGCCCACAAAGATTTTTCTCACTTTGCACAACTTGTACTAGAAACACACAAGGGTCGGCCGTTTAGTCTATGTTCCAGGTGGACCGAAACGTTCCTTCGAAGCCATCGGCTTTTGTAAACGCGCCCAGCACCTCAAATAGCCCCACGTGGAAGCTGGTTCCGGAACTGCAAAGTGCGTCCCCCGACTGTCCTTCCCACCCTCATGAGAGCCACCTGGCACACTGCCCCTCGTGGATTTTCCTAATAGCACGGCATCACCCCCACGTGGAAGTCCCAGGCAGCGAAGGCCCCACAACCTCAGGCTTCTGGGCCGATTCCCATTGTTCTCGTCCTCTGAGGCCGAGCACCTTCCTCTCCCCAGGCGGATCGTGCCTCCTGGGGCGTGTGAGTTCATCTGACCGACGAGTTCGCGAAGCACTTCAACTTTGGATTTTTCCCTCTCTGACATCCTTAAAGTCAATCAAATCATCCTGACCACGGACGTGCCCTCCAGCCGAATCGCCCAATTGAATTAACCTTCATTTACAGCCACTAATTCAAGAAGCCCTAAACCCTTTGTGTAAAACCGGCACAAACTGGATTAAATAATCAATGCCGGTAGCTTTTCCTGAGCTATGTCGAACTAGTGCCCCCAAAACTTGCAGTCTTTCCGCTGACACCTTCCCCCTCCGGAGCAAAGCTAGACCCACAAATGGAGACATGACAGAGACCCTGGTTTTCTCGTCCTTTATCCTTAAAGGATCCCCGCTTCCTTTAGGTACTCATAAAGTTCCCCCAAATCACACTTTGGGCGTCTAAAAAAGACAACCAGGAAGACCCTGTTCAACCGGCATCCACTTCGGCCATAGAAAAAGACAATCCATTGAGGACGTTAACGCCCAGTGGGAGTCAATTATTAGAAATCCAGCAACAGGATGTACAGCTATTGGAATGCTTTTCATAACACGACAGAAAACTGCACGTACAGTAGAATCTCACCAAATTAGCAACCGGCCATTTCCAAGTACGAGACTGGAAGTAATCGTAATCTACCTAGCTCATCCCCATGGCCCAGCCCCGTACTTGATTTGAACGGTAACGCCAAACTCAGTTGTTTTCCTGGACTAAGACCCAGCCTGCCTGCAACACTCACCTTGGCCTCCTCGGTTGTAATCCGATGAACAGCGAAGCGACCTTTGGTGTCATAGACGAGACGGAAATTCTCTCCGGTCTTGTCAATGCTGATGACATCTGACATCAAACAGTAAGGTTACTATAGTGACCCCCCCAAACACACACACACTATCCCATGCTGAGCGACCACCACAGCACTGTTGGGCGGGGGGCGAGGGAAACCCAGGTGCTTCCCATTTCAAACGCCGAATCGTTCATGCTCTAATGTAACTTTAACGTTCTAATGTTTCAAAAGCCTGTTTGCATGACATGTCAAATTTAAAGTGAACTGAAATACGGCTTTGAAAAACAACGTATATTTATCTGCAGCCTTACAGTATGTAAGTAAAACACTCGGAGGAAGGCCATGCTGAGAAAGAAAAAAGCCCACCAGTAGTCAATATAACCAAACTTCTGGAGCAGGAGATGAATGAATCGAAGGAGCCGCCACCAGCCACTTACCCATAAAGCCAGCAGGGTAGGTCACGTCAGTGCGGACCTTGCCATCGATCTTGATAAAGCGCTGCATGCAGATCTTCTTTACTTCATCTCCCGTCAGGGCATACTTCAGTCTGTTCCTTAAGAAAATGATGAGAGGAAGACACTCTCTCAGCTTATGGGGGCCGGTAGAAGGACGAGGAGCCTGTAAAATGACCCAAAAAAATTACCTTAAGTGGCTGCTGCGATTCCCTAAAGCCCACCCCCAAGTCCTGAGATCCACTAACTAAACCCCAGACTGTCCATCACCCCCCAGTTTGGGTCAGCGAGGCGTTTAGGGCTTACAGAACTATTTCAGGCCCTGAAGCTTTACAGCACTTCCTCCCTGCAGAGGGCGGGGCCTGCCGCGCACACGTGCGCCGACTCACCAGGTGCACCACGTGCTGTGTGGAATCCCCCCCGGCATCGCAACATTTCTGGATACAGAAGCCAGCGACGCCCGCAAATAACAGTGTAAAATATGACCCTCGATGTGTAACTATGTCCGTAAAGCCGGAAAATAGATAAGATACAATATATAAAACGTATACGTCATAACGATACTTACAAACACACCCGTCAGTTTATCCAGCATCCAGTGCTTGGGAGCTGCTACTCGCTTCAGATGCTTCTTGGGACCACGAGCCTAAGGGACAGTTTTTAAAGTATTTTCGTGTTAGTGCTTAAAAGTGTGTGCGCTTCTCGAGGCTTTTTTTTTTGTAGGACACTTTGCTGGTGAAATGGCCAGGGCTGGACGTCCTGGGACACAGGCAGCCAGCAACGGAAATGGACCAGAAGCCGATCTGTGCTTTTACTTGTTAATCGAAAGGTTTTCCCGATGTAACTGTCTCGTTGTTAAGTGTCCGGTGCGTGGCTGACCTCGGCACAGCAACGCGCCAAGAGCTGTGACCGGCCACATTACGTGTATTCAGGCCGTGCCAAAAAGACAATGACGGAGAGAACGGTTCTCCGCCGGCCGGAGGCGCTGCCCACCCTCCCCGGCCCATCGTCTGCCGTCCGGGGCCACCCGCGGCTCCGGCCTGGGAGGAACGGCGCTCCTCTCAAGCTCACAGATTGCGTGGCAGGGACAGAAACCCGGGCCTTCCCGCCAGCGGCGCC